CAGCGCCGCCCCAGGACTCACCGGAGGCTGCTTCCGAGGCCGGCCCCGCCCTCGCTTCTCAGTGCCGTCCTTGTCCTGCTTGGAGGCCAGGGGCTGGCTGGCCTTCGAACTCGACTCGCTCATCTTCCCTTCTCTGAGGAGCAGGTGGAGGAGCGACGGCTGGGGTGCTGGACGCAGGAAAAGTGGCTTTAGACAAAACACTGTTTCAGCCCGGCCGGCGTGGCTCAGTGGTTGAGCACTAACCTATGATCCAGATCGATCGAAGTTCAATTCCCAGTCAGGGCACATGCCTGGGGCACAGGCTTAATCCCCCGTGGGGGGGAATGAAGGAGGCAGCCGACCAAAGAGTCTCTCATCATTTATGTTTCTCTCTCTCCCTCCCCCTTCCTCTCTCTGAAATCAATAAAAATATATTTTAAAAAAACATAACACTTTGTTACAGCCACCTCCTACCCCCTCATCCCTCCCACCCTCCAAGTGCACTGCAGCAGAACTGCCTGCCCCTAGGGGTGCCCAGGTTCCCACCCTGCTGCTGCCACAGGGTGGGGCTGGGCCGTTGGCCCTAATGAGCTCCTTATCTCCTGTTCAGAAGGGCTCTTTGTTGTCCTGCCACCTCCACAGGGCAAGGGCCTGGAGGCACAGGCAGCCCAGACCAGGCTGAGGCCAAGGTGTAGATGAAGGGGGGGGGTCCTCATACCTCACAAGGTGAGGGGGAACTCTCTCTAGCCAGCTTCTGCCCTTTCACCAAGCCTGGGGAGCTCACAGGAACAAGGGAAAAATAAGAGTTAAGCAAAGAAAATGAGCCTGGGCACCTGGCAGCCATGAGCTTCAGTGCCCTGCACACCTCACTGACAACAGTCAAGGCCCGAGGCTCAAGAGGAAACACTGTAAGGGCCAACCTTGACACTCCACACCAACCACCCCGGCCCCAGCAGTGCCCCTCTCTGCTCCCTCCCAGGGTAAAGCCTGGGATTCAAAGATGGGGCACAATTTAGGAAGTAGGAAGATGGTTGAACTGCAATGAGTAAGGTCAGGGGAGGAAAAGAAGCCCAAAGCTGAAAGGTGGGTCTCCTCTCTCCCCTCACCCCCATCCTGCCCACCTGGAGTCAGATGAGATCTCTCCCTTTGATACCTGCTTACAGAAGGGGCATCTCCAACTGGGATGGAACCTTCTAGCTGGCTCTTGAGCCCTGGCAGGGCTGATCCTAAAAATCTTCTTGGTCCCTTCCTAACGTGTTCTCTCTTCTTAGAAGCCTGTTTTGTTTTAATCAGCCCCACTATTTGTTTACCTAAAACCTCTCCCTGCAAGGACACTTACACCCTGTAGTTGGGAGCCTCTTCTAGAGACTTAAAAAAGGACAGTGAGGCCCTGGCCGGGAAGCTCAGTTGGTTTGTGTCGCCCCAATATACCAAGGTTGTGGGTTCCATCCCCAGTCAGGGAACGTACAAGAATCAACTAATGAATGCAGAAATAACTGGAACAACAAATTGATGTCTCTCTCAAATAAGTAAATATATTAAAACAAAAGTCTCTGTTATTATCTCCAAGTTACATAAAAGAGACTTGAATCAGGAAACCTATGGCTCTACACCTGTGTGTGGACCAACTCCTGGCTGCGCTTGGTAAAGGGTGGGCTGGGCCCAAATGGCTCCACTTCTGAAAGCCCCTCAGTTTGTATAATGGGGGTAAAGGGAAGACACATGCCTCAACTACTTCTCCTGACTGCTGCAAAGGTCAAACCAGGTAATAGTTTTAAAACGCCTAAACAATGGGAAGTCTTCATTCAAAACGAGAACTAGAACATTTGAAAATGACTTCTTTCCCCTTTTCAGACAATTTCCAATTTTAACCCAATGAGAGGGAAAAAAACATTTTGCAAACTTGTGACTTCTGGAGGGCCCAAGGCCCCATCCTCAGAGCTTCGCAATGCTCCAGGCGGCAGGGCCTTTTCTGGTATTCATTCTGTTTTATAATATTTGAGACTTGAAGACCCTTTCAAACAAGGTGGTTGGTGATTTATCCTGCTCCATCATTAGTGGCTTGGCCTGCTCTGTAATTACAGGCAGTGATTAGAATCTTCTATTACACCACAGGTCCCCTTTCAAACTAAACATCAAAATTAATCAGCGAAATGAGTATTGACCTCTGATGAGGTCTGCTGGAGGCCCCCTCAGAGAGAGGGTTCTAGTTGGGTGAAGCTGGTCCCTAATCCCAGACAGCCTGGGCCCCGCCTGCTCAGATCCTGGTAGGTCTCTCTGGAAGCTCCTGTTTCATCTGGTGCTTTCTCCTACCTCTTGCTGCTGGAGACCCTTGAGTCCACTCACCCACCCCAAATCCAGACCTCCATCAACTAAATAAAAGCCTGAGGCCCTCTCTGGTGAGACGGACAAATGCCGTCTCTTCCACCTGTTTCTTACCATCGGAGAGGCCTGGCCTGGAGAAGCCACGTTTAAGGCCCAATCTTAATCCTTCAGTTTATAAACC